TGAGAGGGCATAAGTGTGTGTGTGTGCACTAATACTATAGGATATACATATGTTTGTGTGTGTGCGCATGTGTGTGCGCATGTGTGTGTGTGTGTGTGTGTGTGTGAACTAATACTAGACTGAATGAGAGGCTATACATATGTGTGTGTGCGTGCGCGCGCGGGCGTGTGTGTATGTGACTGATATCGTAGCAGACTGAATGAGAGGCTTGTACTTGTGTGTGAGAGTTCAACCTGTCACGGAAGAGGCGGGGCAAATTGGCTAGCGCATGCGTGGAACCCAAACTGAGCAATATTATGTAAAACGGGGTGGGCAATAGGGGGCAGCACACAAGCCAGTTACCTGCTGAGCCAACAATAATGAGCTTCCGAGAAGAAGACGTAGCATGGCTAACGGCAGTGTAAGTAAGAAAAAATAAGTCAAGCAGCCGCAATTTTAAATGGCCTGTTATCAACACCGGATGCATCAAGCAGTGTGGCCAGGGCTTTAAATGAAAGAGCTCCTCAGGTGGCCCATACTGATTCTGTTGAAACAGAACTATCATCTTTGTTTCGTACTGGAGCAGCTGGCCGAAGTTCGGCGGTGTCAACAGGAAATCAAGGTATAGTAATATTGTGCTTTTTTCCTTTTATAATATATTAAATGGAGTGGATTCCTCCTTATTCGGACTCAATTCTCCATTTTAAAATGCAAAACCCATCTGTTCAAGATTGCTTATTCTCTTTAAAAATATCAATTTCACTGTCACAGCCTCTGTATTTTTTAAATGTCTTTATAATTATTATTTTTATTTTTTTCTGAAACTTTTTATGTTTTTGTACGGTGACCTTGAGTGTCCAGAAAGGCGCCTTTTTAAATAAAATGTATTATTATTATTATTATTATTATTATTAACAGTACATAGTACAAATAGATGGATTCTAGCTTTAACCATTGGAAACTTGCTTTTATTTGCAAGTAAAATCTGAACCCATTAGCTCCATCACAACACTCTCAGGTCATATCACAACACCGTATTCCTCCGCCTGCTACTTCGGCACTATCTATCACAGTAAATGTTTTTTTAAGCATTTTTATTAATCCGACCCCATGTGCTAACATGGGGTGTTATAACATCAGTGGAAATACAGACAATGAAAGCATCATTCAGATGTTCTTCCTGCTGAAACTCTTGCTCTTTGACAGGACCAGGTTTGGTGGCTGCTGCGGCTCCACGTTTCCAAGCCCAGCAGAGTTTTGGACTTTGGTCTACTAACAGGAAAAGAAGGTAATATGTTTGTTGGTCTTCATTTAAGCTACCAGCACAGATTATCCATAATATTAGATGTTTCCGATGATAAAACCGGCCGGTGGAGTTGGCATAATATTACCCATTGTATCTATAGGTGGAATAGGGTCTTTATTACAGTGCAGTTTTCATTCAGATTTAAATTCCCCTGGCCTGCTCTAGAAGCTCATTTTGTTTTCTAGATCCTTGGATTTTGCTGTCAGTTAAATACGTTATTTAAACCTCTCTAATGCGACCCCCCTCTGTACCACAGGGTTTTTTCTCCTGACTCAAGAATGCTTCTTTGGCAGAAGTTGACTGATGGCTGAAAACAGAACATCTCTGCTTTACACATCGGGAACCAGCAGACCAACAATCCCAATGAAACTTCCTGTTGCTCTTGTTCTGCTGCTGCAGCTGTGTCTTCTTCCTTCATTAACATGGGGAGTCTATGAAGCTGATGTTCAACGTTTTATTAGGGACATGCTACATTGTATCGAACTAATACAAAGGGAAAGAACAGCTGACATAAATAGCCAGGATAGACTGTACAGAGAACTTGCTGATCATACTCAGACTTTATCTTCTATCCTGTCAGTGACACAGTTTAATGAACCAAGATACCATGCATATAAAACAATGTTTGAAGACTTGTATAGATGTTTTCAATCAATTTTAGAAGAATATGATGCTATGTCAAGATCTCATGACTTAACCGCTAGATGTCTGCTTCCACCAACAACGTGGACTGGTTTTCCAGGCCGTCCCAGATACGATATCACATCACTGCAAATTTCTCACTGCATTTCGATAGGAATGAACTGGCAGACGATTGCCTCTGTCTTTGGTATTAACCGTCGAACTCTGTACAGACATAGACAACGCTTGGGAATCCCACCCTTACAATACACTGCGCTGACAGACCAAGAATTATCTAGAATTGTGACTGAAATTCTGCAAAGGACGCCAACTGCTGGTGAAACTTATGTGCTTGGGAGCCTTGCATCCAGAGAAATACGTGTTCAGCGTTGGCGTGTCAGAAATTGTCTACAGGCATGTGGAGTGAAAGAAAAAATATTTTTACCAGTATCAGCCTGTCCTTATGTTCACTAATAATATTTTAATTTTAAACAGGAGCTTGATCCAATTGGCCGATCATTTCGCAGGAGGCGTACCATACAACGACGGGTGTATAATGTTCAGACTCCAAATCAGTTATGGTAAGGCAACAATTTAAAAAAAATAATATTCATAAATAGTTTGCTAAAGGTCTTGCTGTAGACTACATGTTTGCTTGTTTAGACATGGTCAAAACTACTTGAAGTTAAAATCAAGCTTAAAAATAAAAAAAAAGGATTTTGGTGCCATCTATTGGGGTAATCTGACATGAAACGATTAATTGCCAAACAACTTATCTGTCAGATGTTAACTACAGAACCTCAATATTTTGATTATAAATGTGAAAAAAAAAAATGACAAAGCAACTGATCAAAATGGTTCAGGGGGCCCGTTCTGAAAAATAGGATAATTCAACTGTCACACCCACTATTTACGACGGTGACAGAGTTTGTCCAGCAATTGGCGGGTTGCTGGTTCAATCCCCCACTCTGGCTGTCTCTGTCGTTGTGTCCTTGGGCAAGACCCTTCACCCACATTGCCTGTCAGAGGGCCCGGTGGCGCCGGTGCATGGCAGCCTTGCCTCTGTCAGTCAGCCCCAGGGCAGCTGTAGCTATTAGCATAGCTCACCACCATTAGAGTGTGAATGGGTGAATCACAAAACTGTAATGTCAAGCTCTTTGGAGGTCGTCAGAGACTAGTTAAAAGCGCTATACAAGTACAAGCCATTTAACATTTAATCATAAGAGGGCATCATTATGATGGTTTTAACATAAATTGCAAAAAGTAGCACTTTTAGGCCCAGTTCATACAGTTTAACAGCAAAAAACCTTTTTGGGGTGACATTTTAAATAAAATACATTTCCAGCCAATGAACAGATTCTTAATAGATATTTATTTTATACAACAATTTCAGAACGGTTATGTGGAATACCTCCACAATATCAAGATTTCTTTAATACTTAACCCCCACTAATAGGCTCATCATAATCGGCTTACTACTTGGTTTAATCTAGGCTCAAATGTCTTGAAAGATACCCACGTCTAAAAGCAGTAAGAATCTGAATGGGGTTTGGCTATCCTTTGGATATCTTTTTTTATGTGATTAAGGGCAGTTAAATCAGAAATACTGTGAGTAATAACTCAGAATACTGATGCTTTCTTTAAAGCCTTTTAACTTTATGCAATTAGTACCCTACGTTTTTCATCTTTTTACCAAATGAATACTCATTTGTTTTATATTGCACTTGTTTACTTTTGATTTTCTTTCAACAGGCATTTTGATGGTAACCACAAACTGGTGAGGTGGCGGATGGTTTTTCATGGCTGTGTGGACGGTTTTAGTAGAACTATAATATACTTAAGATGCACTAACAACAATAGAGCATCCACTGTATTGTCCCTGTTGTAATGGGAGTGAATAATTTTGGTTTGCCTTCAAGAGTAAGGTGTGATCATGGAATGGAAAACACACTTGTGGCTCGTTTTATGTTGGAAAGGAGGGGGCTGAACAGACATAGTGTCATTGCTGGCTTATCAGTACATAATCAGCGCATTGAAAGGTTGTGGGCAGAGCTTAACAGAGTTGTCTCGAATCATTTCATAAATGTATTTAATTTCATGGAACAACATGGCATCCTTGACTCTTTAAATGAAATGCATCTATTTTGCCTTCATTTTGTATATATGCCAAGGATTGAGAGAGCCACAACAGAGTTCCAAAACCAGTGGAATAACCATGGGCTCTCCACACAGAATGGGCAGACTCCACTTCAGTTATGGCACACAGGTGTCATAAACAACATGGCACAACAGAATGTGGCAATAGAATCTATCTTTGAGGAAGATGGACATTTTGGAGTTGATCATGAGGGGCCTTTACCTGATATTCAGACCAACAATAATATTGTCATACCAGATATTGCTGTTGGCATAAATGCCACAACAGTTAATTTGATGTACCACACTTTTGATCCTCTGCAAAATGATGGAAACTATGGCATTGATTTATTCTGCTCTGTATTGACTTTTGTTGAACAACATCAGTTTTAATATTCAGAAAATTGTTTCCATTGTGTGTTGAAAGTGAAAATAAAGACTGAATGTTTTAAAAACGATTTTGTGCTTCTAATTAACCCAGATGCTATGTTGTTTACTAAACCTGTACTAAACTACAAGTGGATGTTATAAGTTATGAAAAACATCAAGGTTTAATTTAACACAGCTCTGCAGTCCCTGAATGTTCAGCAGGCATGTTTACTGAAAAACTCACTGTTTGGCTACTTAGTTTTCCAAGCGCAACGAGAACTGTGATTTTGATGGTGCCAGCTAATGATTTTCATGCCACACATGCATTAACATTCAAAAGTACAACTTGTTTAGCAAAGGTTTCTGTTAATGTAAAATGTATTTTCTGAAATGGCATCAAATAAGACATATCTCATTTGCTCTGTTACTTTGTGTTAGTTCACAATTACATCATGCTATGTATTTTATTTAAAGATTAAATTTGTATGTAGATCTGAAATAAACTGTACTGACAATACATGACTTCGTAGTATCAGTATTCAAATTATGCAAGGAATAAATTTTCAAAATGAGAAGTACAAAGACGGGATACAAACACTGGTGTAAAGACCACCAAATTTAATAGTAAGCCATTGGAAAACAGATGGTAAAACATTTAACAAGGAAGTGTATGAAACAGGCTGGTTTGAGGTAATTTTAAACCTTTCAAAACTAGAAAAATACAAAAATAAAAGCTGAACCATTAAACAAAAACAAATGGCTGCTTTTAAGATTCAATGTAAGACCAGTTTCCATGTAATAGCGAGCGGGTGGCAGGAAAATGGATTTAACAAACAAATTTTGAAAAAGGGAAAAAAAAACAATTTTCCACAAAATAGATGGAAATGACAATATGATTTCAATCAACTTAAAACTGCTTGTTTTTAATTTTAAGCCAATCTCTGCTCTCTGCCAGTGCCCACTGTAAAATTACTTTTTAAGAAAATCAACTTGCTAAACTGGACCGGCCTTAGCAAGTGTAGTAAACCAGTGTTAACTTTAATGTGAGAACTGTAATAACTCCAACAAAAAAAACTTATGTTCTCCCAAATCCTTGGGTGTTCGCAATGGCAAAGTCCATGTTTTCCTTAAACACTTCATAAGAAGTCACAAGTGGGAGTTTTAAGCAGTTTATACATGTGTTGGCCATGGGGAACATTTGTCTGGAAGACCCTTCTTCACTGCCCTCATGGAGAAACTCAATAGATGGTGCCGGGGAAAAGCCGATTGGTGGTATCTCATTTGCTCCAGTTGCAAATGCAAGGATGTTTTGAAGCTTAGATGATCCTTCTTCGTCTGTGGGGTAAAAAATGTTTTCATTAAAAAAAAAAGTACTAATTTGCCATTTTCTGTTCAAAGTACATAAAGTAGATGTAGTAATGACTACACCTTACTAGTACACCTAAATGTGTACACTTACCAAACAAAAATACATTCAACCTTTTCCTCACTCCCTAAAATCAACAATACCATTTCTTTTTTAAGGTCAGTTAGGATTAACTATAATTTCATATTTTAAGTGTTGCTAACTACTGTTTTATTAATTTGCAGTATCATAAGTATTATATAAAATTTGTAAAGGTCAAAATGATTACTTTTAAAGTTTTAATTGGTTGATTTAGAACATTTGACTGAATTGGAAAGAACACCTTTGGAAGTAATTTTGGGCAGAACATCAAACACATTGCTACCTAATGTGTCATCAACCTAAAACAAACAAAAAAAGCTCAATATCCCCCAGAGAGTGTTGGAGCTCTAAGTCTGTCTCTTGCTTAGGTAAAATTTCCGATCCCTGAAGGTGCCATATTCATCCGTTCAATGACACGCAGCTCTGAACATCATTATCTATGGTAAAACTTGTCCTGCACAGACATGGGATGAAAGCCCATTAAAAAAAAAAAAAGCCATTCCTCCAAAGGCAACCTAAAAAGTCATGTTATATCTTGGTTATTAACTTTTGCGAGATAAATCCTGTGCTCTGATGTAGCAAAATTATATTTCCTGACAAAATAGCCATTATTCTAAAAAAATTGGAATAAATGAAGTAAAAAGAGGTGCTAAGAATTAACCATACACTAACAAACCTCAAAGTACCAGCCCAACTGAAGTATGCGGTTGGAGTTTGTTTTGCTGTAGAAGGTACTGGTGCACAACATAGAAAAGATGGAAATATTGGAGCACCATCATTAAACAGACAGTCAAAGCTTGGGCACAAGTAGGGTTTTTGAACTGAAAATTACTGAGCTGAAGTATAGTGGCATCCCTGTCTCAGTTAAAGCAGTTCTGTCAAAAGGACATGGCCAAAATTTAAGCAATGTATTCGGGGACTCTTGTGGAAAGATACCAAAAATGTTCGACCCTAGTTATATAATTTAAAAGGTAATGAAGAAATGAAGGAACATTTTGATTTGTAGAAATGTTGACATTTTTGTTTCAATATAATCTCAGCATCACTTGTTTCGTCAAAAACAAATTTTATTATTTCACGGTGCTTCACTTTCACATGATGTGGGGCTATTTTTAGAGATATCCTAATGTGTAAGAATACTGTAAAATGGGCTTCAAACCCAAGACATGGGGGCCAAATCTGACATACCAAAGGTTTTTCTGTGGCCTTCTATACTCTGGAGGGTCACATAAAAAACCTGATACAACAATTGTGTGCTTAAACATAATTTTATCAATCAAATCAAAGCTGTTTTTTTCTGTATTCTGCCATATTATCAATGTTAAGTATCATTTAATCTTAAACTCTCATCGAACGCGGATACAGCTATTTAGTATTTTTTTCAAACAGTTTAACAGGTTTTATCAACATATTCTGGCACAAATGCCCCTTTGAGGACATTCATGATCTATATGTGGCCCAAAATCAAAACCAGTTTGACCCTGCTTGAAAATATTACATATAGATGAAGAAGAGCTGTGTTAAATACCTTCTGCATCCTGCAAATAATCTCTCCACAAAGGAATGACAGTCTCTTCTACTCTCCTCCTGTTACTTCCTTTGGAAGCAAGCCGAAGGGTGAAAAGGTCATCCATCATGTCAGCAGTTAATTGCTGTGGTTCATGGCAGAACAAAGACCGAAAACTGTTTGGATGTTGTTTGACAGCATCCAAAACTCCAAGTGTCTTTAGACCTTCTGCAAACCTGTAAAAAGTTAAATGAGCAGACTTAACTCTCAGTCTATCTTATAAACTGACCAAAAGTATTTTTCTACCATATGTTTAAAGAAATATTAGAAAAAAATAAACCTTTGAAAGGGGCCTTGAACCCTGTGAACCACATGAAACATAAGCAGATCATGTAGGAGAAGATCTCGATCATTTATGGCTCTTAAGGGCCTGACGCAACCTGCACTGGTCATGTAGTCCAAAAGAGGATCTGTGGCTCTCAGAAGCTCCTCCAGGGTAGAACTTTCAGACACCTAATAAAGGTTAACACAAGAGCAAAAAGACAAATAGGAACAACATAATATTAGTTTACTTTGAAAAATACATTATAAAAATCTTAAACAGTATTGTTAACAATTTATATTTTACATGAATAGTATGTACAGTTAAAAGTAAACTAATTAGTGAGTGGATTATTACTGTTTTCAATTTTTCCTGAAGGTCAGCATCTGTTATATCCTTCAGAGTAGGGCAAACTGCATTTGGACCTCCAACCAAGCCAGCAAAAAGGACTGGAGAAAGGAACCTTGGAGCTGGACCTCCATGCACAAGGCTAACAGCGATTGCCCTTCCAGCCATAAAGTACCTGTCCTCCCTGAGTGCTGTATTGCAAAAATGTCTTTTGTAAAAATATAATTTAAAAAATAGACATTTTGACAATAAATGCTGGAAAATTACGATCCAAAACAAACCTGTACTGTTCATAGCTAAATGTTTGCATTCTTCAGGGCCTTCAAACATTGGAGACATGGACAAGGCTTCAATGAGTAAACGTAAGAATTCCCTCCGTGGGCCACCCAAATCAATTGCTTCCTCATTTTTTCCAAAATCATCAGAAAACTTCACATTCATTGAGTAATGTGGATTGTATGATATTCTCTTAAATCCACGTATGGCTCCATCTAAAACTGCTGAACGATTAATATTGAATTTGCAGTGCATTCCTGTGTCGATATTTTTGGACAACTCCTCAAGTATGTCCTTCACAGGCAAACTCTTTGAAGAAGTTTCTGATCTGAAAGTGGAAAGAAAACACAACAGAACACATGGCGGGTCACATATTTAAAACCATAACACTGTCTCTTAATGTGTTTTACTTTAATCCTAAATGGAAAAACTAAATGCTTAAATAATCTTAATTCAACAATGTAATAATATTACATCTTGTTAAGTTACAAAGATGCTATCAACTACTGGAATTTTTTATCATCTCTAGATACTCACAAGTGAGTCTCAATACTAGCCAAAATGGCATGATTCATTTCTTCGTCATCAGAGGACAGATCAGAAACACTTGACATCACTGACAAATAAGTGGTGTAGTTGGAGCTTGCATGTGGTGTAGGCTCATCTTGGCAGATTTCAAGGGAGGGATTAGAATCTGTAGCAGAAGAGCTGGTACTGATAGTGGTAGCCGACTGAGTTTCAGTTGTAGCAGAAGGCGGCATATTTGAATGGCTGTTGTCAGATGGGCAAAAGGTTGAATGATCTATTTCTGGCAACTCTTCACCAAAATTCCCCATGTCAGTATTGTAGGGGAGGGCATTTTCTGGTGTGTTAAGTTGTTTATTTCTTGTCATGGCTCTTGTTGTCCGGGGAGATACTTCATATGAAGTTGCATTCCTTAGCTCTGGATCTTCCTGTAAAAACATGATTCTTTTGAAAATTAAAAGGTTTGAAATAATATCTCCAAATCTACAGAATTATTCCCTGTAAAATTAAATTTAGAAATATGGCAACATTTATTTCTAAACCATATAAATTGTAAAAAGAAAAAACAAAAAAAACAATAAAAACCTCAAACTTAATGACCAAATGATTGCAGCAAAGGCTGTTCCGAAGCAAAAATATTGCTACATGTCTGTACCATCCAAAGGATCTATAATATGTTATTTATATAGAATGGAATTACTAATAGTGTGTCCGTACAAAACAGTAACATAACATTGTACACATTCAATAACTTACAAGAAGAGTTTGTGATGGTTTGACATACAGAGCCTTAGATCGGAAGACCTTCTGGATCAACTGGCCATTCAGTTGTTGCCCATCTTGCAGTTTAGGAGAGATCAGTTTATTTCCACAGCCCATGAGAATCTGAAGGCTATATAAGACATGTGTGATATTTATTAAAACTATGCCTTTTAGTAAAGTACCTTTACTAAATTTTAAGAATTTAGTAAAGGTACTTCAAATATACTAACATAACGAAAGATTATCAATGTAGGATTACCTGACATTTTGAGGAATTGTCGAACCAAATCCACCTCTAATTTGCTGGATCACAGTATGATAGTCCCAAGACTTGTGGAATTCAAAGGCACTCAGTATGTGACCATTTTCATGCAAGTATTGCTTGAAAGGTGGCTTGCAAATTACTTCCCAGAGGGATTTGGAAGGAGTATCACATCTTTGTTAAAGCATTCATGGTAATGGATACCTTTGGGTCTGAAAAATGAGGAGAACAAAACATAAAATTTAATGAAAACTGCACTGTAATAAAGACCCTATTCCACCTATAGATACAATGGGTAATATTATGCCAACTCCACCGGCCGGTTTTATCATCGGAAACATCTAATATTATGGATAATCTGTGCTGGTAGCTTAAATGAAGACCAACAAACATATTACCTTCTTTTCCTGTTAGTAGACCAAAGTCCAAAACTCTGCTGGGCTTGGAAACGTGGAGCCGCAGCAGCCACCAAACCTGGTCCTGTCAAAGAGCAAGAGTTTCAGCAGGAAGAACATCTGAATGATGCTTTCATTGTCTGTATTTCCACTGATGTTATAACACCCCATGTTAGCACATGGGGTCGGATTAATAAAAATGCTTAAAAAAACATTTACTGTGATAGATAGTGCCGAAGTAGCAGGCGGAGGAATACGGTGTTGTGATATGACCTGGGAGTGTTGTGATGGAGCTAATGGGTTCAGATTTTACTTGCAAATAAAAGCAAGTTTCCGATGGTTAAAGCTAGAATCCATCTATTTGTACTATGTACTGTTAAGAATAATAATAATAATAATAATAATAATAATAATAATAATACATTTTATTTAAAAAGGCGCCTTTCTGGACACTCAAGGTCACCGTACAAAAACATAAAAAGTGTCAGAAAAAATAAAAATAATAATTATAAAGACATTTAAAAACATTTAAAAAATAAAGAGGCTGTGACAGTGAAATTGATATTTTTAAAGAGAATAAGCAATCGGTCTGCGCCAGGTGACGTCAATGTTTACCTCGGGCGCGGTGCATCGTGGGAAAACCACCATATTAGGTGGAAAGTCGAGATAACCCACACGCGGCTGTTCTTTCGGCACAATTATTTACCAGAAATGACACGATCGTGTTGTGTGAGAGGCTGCCAGTCCCGGTGTCGTGCCAAGGTAGTTATCCCTGCGAAAATTTGTATCCCCTCGTCGGGAACGCGCACGGAGTAGGAAGAACAATCCGACTTAACTCCGCTTCAATTCCAACGTGCAGAACTTGAAATTTGAAAGGTTTTACGTGTATGAAAGTTGAGCTTTACTGTTTTATTCTTTACTTCACGTGTTATAGCAGAATATCGCCAGTGATTGATTTAAAACTGATTATAAAACACAAACGTTTGCTTGAAAGCTGGTCGCTGACAGCAGTGTCTACTCCTCCCTCTGAAAGCAAACAGATCCTTGTTCCTTTCCACATGTTCCTTAAAAAAATCTCTCATTGTTTCACAGTATCCAAATGTTCTCATCCCATTGAAAACTGTTGTAAACCATATACTTGTAATAAAAATGAAATAGAAAATGGAGTGCACGTGTAATCATTAAAGACTATATGCAGAAGGAAAATAATTTTTTCCTGGTTGAAATTTAGTACTTAAATCTATATTTGTGTTTATAGTAACGTACAATTTATCTATGTTGTACTATCCTTAATAAACAGTTTGTCTTCTAACATCAGCTGTTTTATTTCATCCCATTTTGCCAGAAATGGCAATATGGGATGAAATAAAACCTGCTGTAATCTGTTCCCCCTGTCTAAATCAGGCAAAAAAGGTCCCAGCTTTTTCATTTTTGGCTTATAAGTATCTTTTATGATGACAACTAACCCCTGAAACTTTGGAGTTGATTGACCTTTATTTCTTAAAAGTTACAAGGGGGGAACAAATTATAGCAGGCCACCTGCCATAATCTGTTCCCCCTGTCTAAATCAGGCAAAAAAGGCCCCAGCTTTTTCATTTTTGGCTTATAAGCATCTTTTATGATGCAAAAAATGAAAAAGCTGGGACCTTTTTTGCCTGATTTAGACAGGGGGAACAGATTAGAGCAGGTGGCCTGCTATAATTTGTTCCCCCCTTATAACTTTAAGAAATAAAGGTCAATCAACTCCAAAGTTTCAGGAGTTAGTTGTCATCATAAAAGATACTTATAAGCCAAAAATGAAAAAGCTGGGACCTTTTTTGTCTGATTGAGACAGGGGGAACAGATTACAGCAGGTTTTATTTCATCCCATATTGTCAATTGTGGCAAAATGGGATGAAATAAAACAGCTGATGTTAGAAGACAAACTGCTTATTAAGGATAGTACAACATAGATAAATTGTACGTTACTATAAACACAAATATAGATTTAAGTACTAAATTTCAACCAGGGAAAAATTATTTTCGATCTGCATATAGTCTTTAATGATTACACGTGCACTCCATTTTCTATTTCATTTTTATTACAAGTATATGGTTTACAGCAGTTTTCAATGGGATGAGAACATTTGGATACTGTGAAACAACGAGAGATTTTTTTTAAGGAACGTGTGGAAAGGAACAAGGATCTGTTTGCTTTCAGAGGGAGGAGTAGACACTGCTGTCAGCGACCAGCTTTATTATATATATTATATTCTGCTATAACATGTCAAGTAAAGAATAAAACAATAAAGCTCAACTTTCATACACGTAAAACCTTTCAAATTTCAAGTTCTGCACGTTGGAATTGAAGCGGAGTTAACTCGGGTTTATCTTCCTACTCCGTGCGCGCTCCCGACAAGGGGATACAAATTTTCGCAGGGATAACTACCTTGGCACGACACCAGTACGGTAATTTCGCATTCTGCTTACTTTTTTCCATATACTCAGAGAAACAAACTCAATCCTTTAGTCCTTCGTTTAGCTATGCTGCGGTTGTTTACACTACGCCTTTTCCACCAAAAATGGCGTCTTAGCAACAAATGTCACGTGACTGGCGGAGAACGATCTTGAACAGATGGGTTTTGCATTTTAAAATGGAGAATTGAGTCCGAATAAGGAGGAATCCACTCCATTTAATATATTATAAAAGGAAAAAAGCACAATATTACTATACCTTGATTTCCTGTTGACACCGCCGAACTTCGGCCAGCTGCTCCAGTACGAAACAAAGATGATAGTTCTGTTTCAACAGAATCAGTATGGGCCACCTGAGGAGCTCTTTCATTTAAAGCCCTGGCCACACTGCTTGATGCATCCGGTGTTGATAACAGGCCATTTAAAATTGCGGCTGCTTGACTTATTTTTTCTTACTTACACTGCCGTTAGCCATGCTACGTCTTCTTCTCGGAAGCTCATTATTGTTGGCTCAGCAGGTAACTGGCTTGTGTGCTGCCCCCTATTGCCCACCCCGTTTTACATAATATTGCTCAGTTTGGGTTCCACGCATGCGCTAGCCAATTTGCCCCGCCTCTTCCGTGACAGGTTGAACTCTCACACACAAGTACAAGCCTCTCATTCAGTCTGCTACGATATCAGTCACATACACACACGCGCGCGCGCGCACGCACACACACATATGTATAGCCTCTCATTCAGTCTAGTATTAGTTCACACACACACACACACACACACACACATGCGCACACACATGCGCACACACACAAACATATGTATATCCTATAGTATTAGTGCACACACACACACTTATGCCCTCTCATACAGTCTAGTATTAGTGCACACACACACACACTTATGCCCTCTCATACAGTCTAGTATTAGTGCACACACACACACTTATGCCCTCTCATACAGTCTAGTATTAGTTCACACACACACACTTATGCCCTCTCATACAGTCTAGTATTAGTTCACACACACACACTTATGCCCTCTCATACAGTCTAGTATTAGTGCACACACACACACTTATGCCCTCTCATACAGTCTAGTATTAGTGCACACACACACACTTATGCCCTCTCATACAGTCTAGTATTAGTTCACACACACACACTTATGCCCTCTCATACAGTCTAGTATTAGTGCACACACACACACTTATGCCCTCTCATACAGTCTAGTATTAGTGCACACACACACACTTATGCCCTCTCATACAGTCTAGTATTAGTGCACACACACACACTTATGCCCTCTCATACAGTCTAGTATTAGTTCACACACACACACTTATGCCCTCTCATACAGTCTAGTATTAGTGCACACACACACACTTATGCCCTCTCATACAGTCTAGTATTAGTGCACACACACACACTTATGCCCTCTCATACAGTCTAGTATTAGTTCACACACACACACTTATGCCCTCTCATACAGTCTAGTATTAGTTCACACACACACACTTATGCCCTCTCATACAGTCTAGTATTAGTGCACACACACACACTTATGCCCTCTCATACAGTCTAGTATTAGTGCACACACACACATAAGACATGTATTCAATTTTAGTTTTGTGATTGTGTGTGAGTGTTTCTACTGTGATGTGTGCATGTCATAGTAGTGTGTTTGAGAGGAAAACAGTTTTTTTGAGAGTGTGTGAGTGTTTCTACTGTGATGTGTGCATGTCATAGTAGTGTGTTTGAGAGGAAAACATAGTTTTTTTTGAGAGTGTGTGTGTGTCTACTGAGGTGTGTGCATGGTTTTATTGGTGTACGTGAGAGGAAAAATAGTTTCTGTCCTAAACGGCCCCTCATAAACAAGACTGCCCGGGGTCAGCACACAAAGCTTTGAGTGTCATTTTCTTAATAGAACCAATAGACTACCATCACAGGAACGTAGGAGAGGATACATTAAGCTAAAAAATTTTAAACACTGAGGCACAAGAATTTAAGTAAGGCGGAGAGTTTTAACAGATGAGAAGGAGGAGAGGCTCTGCAGGCTCCACCAAGTTCTTATCCACAGATAAAGAAGAAAAGAATTTTTGGATATCTGACTCAATTCCTGTCAGAAATAGCCTAGCTCCACTATCTGACAAGGAAGCTGCTTTGTGCCTTTTGTGATATATATATATATATATATATATATATATATATATATATATATATATATATATATATATATATATATATATGAAAAAAGTCCCTAAGGAGTTTTAGTAAGATGCATACTGGAAATGTGCAATAAGTTTAAACAAAATCTCATGCATCATACGTAGCATTAGTATCTCACTGAAGCAGGTGGAAACACATATTTGGACAAATGAGAAACTGAAGTGTGGTTGCCTTTGAATGGCATTTTGACCTGGCATGTTTGTTATGTCCCAGATTCTATGCGATTACAATCAGTCTGTCACCTCTACCGCCTGCTGTCGAGATGTTAGGTTTATGTAAATGAGGCCATCATAATCCTGATCGGGTACTGCTGGCTTAATATGTGAAAGGAAGTCTGTGACCCAATAATAATTGCCTCTTGCAGACTTCTATGTCTTGTTTGACATAACAGCAAATCCAAGAATCCCTGTTATTTTTTTCTTCTGTGACCTTGACAAGCAAATGTCAAAGCTTTTTATTTAGAATCCTGTGAGCATGACAAGAATTTAAATTGCAATTTACTTGCAATTGTCTTACATTTCTGGATAAAATATATTTGACAAACAAAAACAGAAAAATCTATTGTCTCTGTTTAAGAGGGATGTTTATTTTTGGAGGGACTACTGTAGAACCTGTTGAATTTCCACAGTATTTCATAAGAGGAAAGAAAAGGAAGAGTGGCAAAGTGATTGCTGAAAAGTAGAAATTTGAATTACTAGTAATTTGGTAAGGTTGCTGACCATCCCTTAAAAAAGGAACTGCCCCCTATCACAAAATGAATGTCTAAATTAACTAAAGACAGAAATAAATTAATTATGTCGGTATGGTGGAAGACAATGCCTGGCCAAAAAATTTTGTTTGTATAGCCCTATTTTGGGAACACAAAATATATTAAAAAAAATTTAATACTGTCATGATTTGAAGTATCACATTAGCTTATTATATTTTTAGTTTCTTGGCATTTAGCTTTCAAATGAGCTGTTTTGTAAAAAGTTTATTGCTAGCCATTTATGGGGTTGTCACAGCAGTATAGGTTCTGTTAAGGGTAGTGATTTTTCTGGCAGAACGGGGGACCAGAAACTATCCTCTGAATTCTGAAAGGGACTTTCCAACAAGAGTACCTCTTTAAATCATGTCTTGGACTTCTTGACCTATCTAAACACTTCCAGTAATTAAAAATTGTTTGAAGGCCATTTTAGGGGATACAGTGGGATGAAGATAAGAAACGTTTTTTCCCATAAAAAGTTGCTTGAGAGCAAAAGTTTCTGTTTTTTTATGGTCTTTAGAGATAGCTAATGTATAGCAGTATACAGAACCTGCTTTAGACTGATTAGGGCCAAGTAAGAATAATATTCTGAGGAAGACTTAAGGACTGACTGTACACCAGGCTGGAGTCAGTGACTTGAGCCAGGGCAGGAGTCTGCAGTGAGAAACAGTCCCCATAACAGGGCCTAGATGTTCAGATATTCTAACATTAAGATCTGTGTTTTTGTTAGGCTAGATGTCCTTTTTTATCCAGACCTTTTATTCAGGACCACCTGCAGTGGTGATCCCTTGAATTGGAATAAAGGCATCCTTGTATTATGTATTGTTAAGTAAAACATTCCTTACTTCACTGTGTTGATCATTGAGTCCACAGATTAGAGGAATAATTAAGTCAGAGTCTTTGGTAACCTTATTTACATTACGGTGACATTACAGTCACAGATTGCTACCATGAAATCTGAGCCTTTACAGTCAAACGTCTACTTTTAGGCACCCTCTTTGGCATTGGTATGTCACTCTGGATAATCTCAGAGCCGTTGGCTACACTAAGCAAAATGTTGTTCACCAGCTCCATCATACTTGCACACATTTCTGATCATGGGAGAAGAACTCCTCTTCTCCTCTCTTAGAGGTATATATCATAAAATAAAGCTGGAGCTGCACTAAAAACATAGCACGATGCCCCGTTTTAAAGAGAAACTTACTCCCTTCTCTACAAACAGTCCTTAACACAGCCTAAGATTGTTATTCCCCAGTTCTGTCTCTAAGGTTACAATCACATTGTGTTAAATAAGCATATATATTCTTGTGAAACGTTAGCCTATTTTAACTCTGAATAACACATATAATGATTTTTAAGATTTACTATGATTGTAACCTAATTAGCCTACTCTTTCAATCTCACTTGCTAAGAAAGCTTTTTCTTAGCAATTACTGTTTTTGCTTCTTGTGAATCTATTTGTGATTTTATGGAATTGCTGTTTTTTTATGTATGTAATACTTATTAACTTGATACATTTATTAAGGATTTATTTAGCTAACTTCTCACCAATTGCTTGCCACCTGATGCTTTGGCTACTCGTTTCGGCTACACAAATTATGACATGCATCCAATGAGTTACTATGTATTTGATTTAGAATATACATTTCCATATAGTCTACAGAGCTTCTGTACAGATTAGCCAACAGAACATTTATTTGATTTAAATATAACAGCCATATGCATACCTTAAGCAAAATACCTAACACACAAATTTTTCCAATGTTGCTTTATGAACTGCTGACCCAATTCTATATGTACAACGATTAAAACAAATATAAAATAAATAAGTTCATCATGTTTTTCCTTTATGGATGCATAGCTGTGTTGAATGAGGTCATCATTAAGAAAGTAACTCAAGTGTATCTAAATTACATGTGAAGTGGGGGAGTCATTCAACTGTGACTCAGTTACACAAAGACGACAAAGGAGCCATATGATCGCTTTTGTCTTGAATCCACGTAGCAATCATATTTGCTACCTCTAAATTGAATCAGATGACATGGATAAGAACAGGTAGCAGGCAGAATCAAGGGGGCTCTTTCCTCATCAGGACTAATTGTGTCTCTGAATGACACAAAGCCTTCAAAAGAGAAAGCACTACTATAATCGGGGGCTGTGTGCTTGTTCATCAGCCCAGAACCTTTCTGCACCATTGACTCCTCTGTCTGTGCCTATGACAACAAAGGGGAACTGCTGTGCACTGATTGCGGCATCAACCCCATTGCAGAGATGTAGGCCACTCTGGTCTAAAAAACACATATAATCTAACTAAAGGAACAGGCAATATCTAATTTTGTGACAATGTGAAATATAAACCACAAAAACAAGTTATTTTTTTGCTTGTCCCACACAAATTATCTATGTAACATATGTTTGCAAAGTGTGGTTATTAACTGACTTTGGAATAATCAGTTAGTCAGACTGAAAGAGTATTGCTACTCCTCCTCCTTGCACAGAATTTCTGGGTGTGTGAAAGTTTAAATAACTGGAGGAAGTTGCCTCATTTATCCTCATATAATCCTCTAGCTGCAGCCAAGTTTCTAAATCAATTTGATTATCAGAAATAAAGTCATTAACTAACAAACTTTTTAAAGAAAGAGATCTTATGTTAAATACACCACATTTAATAGTTTTAACTATTT